GAATGTTGCAAATGTAAAGGTAGACGTTTTGTAACATAAAGAAAGGAGTGACTGATCTTGCAGTCCAGGAGCAGAGGACCTTGGGACCATTAAGGGAGAAGGGCAGAGTGTGGGACCTAACTGAATAAGCAGTGATGCCAGAAACAGAGGCAGACGATGACGTGGAGAGATGGAGTGGCTAGGGACTCTAGACTCAAGGTGGCTCGTGGGGTAGGCTTGCAGGGCATGCCCTCTGTTTGAATGGTTATAGATTCCTGAGTGCTTTGGTGTACATAAAAAACAACAACAACAACAAAACAGAGGGAATGGAAGCAAATGCTGTTGAATGATGATGCATGGAAGGAATTGTAATTATTGCAATGAAATGAAATATGACAGGATGAGTGTAAAGCTGATGTTCTCCCATGTAAACTATTACTCAATTCACAATAACAAAAATAACAATAAAAAAACATGTTACTTCCATTACTGATTATCACTGAGTACTTCTCACAAAAAGCAATTAAAATGACTAAAAGAAATATTACTATGAGAACAGTTTTTATCAAAAATGTTTTCATTTAATAGGTAATAAATAGTTCAATGTTATGTATAATCAATAAAGAAGAAGAGAAAGATGAGTAAGAAAAGGTTGGAAGGCTTGAAACAGATAAGTTCACGACCAGATGAAGAAGGAAAAGCCCTTTTATAGATGAAGCTTTTGTCTGAGCTCTTTTTATTGATGCTAACACCTCAGCTCTGAACATATACATAGGCTAATTCAAATATCTATCGATCGAAATGCTCAGCCTGGTTTAAAACCACTTTCATTCCAAATTGCAATGAAAAGATTCAGCAATAAAACCTCACTGCATTAATTTTAAAAAGAAAAACCTTTTTCCCAAAGAGTTCTCAGCTTTAAATTAAAACAATAAGCACAAAAGAGTAACTGTAATTGTGCCTTAAAAGGTACATACAGTAGAAGGAAGGCACCAGGATCAGAAAGCCAGATTTATAGTAAGTAGGTACCTGCTGTTTGCTTTGAAATGGCTACCTTGGGGATTTTTAGTGAACTTAGCAGACCTAATAATAATGATATTAATAATAAAAGCCAACTCCAGTTGCTTTAGAATGTGTATACCTCTCATGTGCAAATTCCATTTATGAAGAAATGGAATTGGTGTTTATTTGTATTTGTCTCTTGAGGATTCTGAATTCTCTAAGAATTCTACAAAGTGCACATTCTTCCTAGTGGTGGATTTTGGATTGACCTTACCTTTCATGAAAAAAACAATCCAGTAAAGATGAGTCAATAGAGACTCATTCTACTAAGGAACCTAGTAAAATAAGGTAAAGTAAGGTAGAAGCAAACTGAGAGACAAAGGATATGTTAGAGATATTGCTTGAAGTCTTGAATGATAAATAGTTCTTAAATGGTAAAGCTAGGGGGTAGGATATAGTAGAGTGAGGAATGAAATAAAAAAAAAAGTGTCTTTAGAGAAATTTAATTCATCAAACATTTCAATTTCTTTAGTTGCTTTTACTATGCTTTTAGGAATTCACTCTCATTTGATGCATGTTTTAAATGTCTTATGCAGCAAGTAACATTCTTTGCTAATTTTAGGACTATCTGAACCACCATGGGGATTCCTTCTAAATAAGAGGTCTTCTTTGAATCAGTTATTAAGTTATCAAAATCTGTCCCTAAAATCTGGACTTACAGTGAAGATGTTGTAAGTGAAGTTCACTTATTTGGTGTTGCAACAGTGAATCCCTGCCTACCTTAAGTTATTTTTCTTACCTCCAGCTAATAACCAATTCCAACTTTCATTTTTAAAAATTTTTCTGATAAAAAAGTTGAAATAATGAAGCCAACTTGTCAGAAACATCTAACTTACAGCTACTCAAAAGTTTAATTGTTTATATATGCAAAAACCTAAGTATACTTATTTTCCTATCAACTTTGACAGATATCTAGTTCTTTTTGTTTTTAATTCTAATTGTCACTATTAAAAATAAATAATTAATCTAAAAGAATAATATGCTGAAAAGAAAAAAAATCAAAATTTTGGGTAAAGTTATTCATGGATAAATGGTGAACTAGGAAGTAAAACTAAAAAGTTATATACAAGAAAAGGTCTCAAAAAGAGGTTCATATAAATAAACATAAATAAGTACACAAATACTCTAGTACAATATACTTTGTTATTTTAAGACCAAAAGACATCAGTCTCTGTTTTTATTTCTAGATATTTTGGCACAACACAAAAAGCAAGTTACTGCTAACAGACGTATGATTAGTGAAAATGGGTCTTACATATGCGTTTACTCTCTAATAAAAGTAAATGTCTTCTAAACAGTTCAAATTTTAGTAATCTTTTCTCAAATCAAAAACAAAAACAAAAACATATATAAACAAATGTCACTAAACTATAACCAAACCCAATCCACTGTCATCCAGTTGATTCGGACTCAGAGCAACCCTGTGGGAGCCCTTAGAACTGCCTCAAGGCTGTGATCTTGATGCTAGCGGACTGCCACATTTTCCCCCTCCCTGAGAAAAACTGGTGAGTTTCAACTGCTGACTGTTAGTTAGCAACTGAGCACTTTAACCACTGTACCACCAGGACTTCTAAAAGTCATCGATGCTCTACAAAAATATTTTTCCAGAGGCAACTGACAGCTTTGGAATATGTTTATAAGAACAAGAAATGCGATTCTTGACCTGTAGCCTGCACACGCAGAATCATCACTGGTGATTCCCTTTCAAGTAAGGGTCAGGGTTGTACTATATTGATTCAAATTAAGAAATCCAAGTAGAGAGTCCATGACCTTATGTGGCAGAGACACAAGTATCTAACTTCTAAACATTTGCTTTTATAGTTCCCAACCAGAACTTGAGTCCACTCCAACCTCCTAGTGAGGTTTAAGGCACTAAGAAGAGAGCACCAGGAATAAAGGTGCTGGTGGGAAGGCACAGTTTAATGACCGTGAGTGAGGTGGTCACAGCTAACTTACATTTCACTATCTGCTAGAATAGTAGTAGCATGGTCTTTTTTGTCCTCACATGTAGCTGTTTTTGTTTTTCCTTTTGTCCCCACACTAACGTCAGAGATTTGGCAATTTTGTATTATTCCCATTTAAACAACTGAAAACCTGAAATGCAAAAATAAGGCTTCTGGTCTCAATGATTTACATTTGCTGAGATCAGAACCAGAAGCCAGGTCTCTGAAACGCAGATCCAGGCAGGGTTTCTTTCCCACAGTGTCTCTAGCTCCCATAGCTTTCCTTTTCAGCTAACAATCTAGGCAAATTAACCTACACTTTTCCCCTTTCATTGTTGTTGCTAAGTGTCACTGACCCTGTATAAGGTTTCTAAGGAGCGGTAGGTGGGTTTGAACCGCTGACTTTTAAATTCAAACTGACCTTGCGGTTCAGTGCATTATCCTGCAGTGCCACACCAGGACTCCCCTTCCATAGCACTGTGTAAAGTGATTGCAGCTTGCTTGTCTGAGACTTCCTAAGCAGCATTAGGATATGCCAGAGAAAATGTTAACATGACAGCATTTTAGATCATCTCTAAAACTTTGAAGGTAGCTTAGTGTCATTCCGGCAGTAGTTTCCAACCTTTCCTCTGCCATAACACAAATAGAAAATGATAGCATGGGTACAGCTGTTCAAAGCCACAGCTGACCAACCAGGAGTTCTGGCAGTTCCAAGCCCTGGCCAGCCCGTACATCAGGGACTGGGAGGAGGAGCTCAGCACTCCTGTCACCTGCTGGCTGCATTTTGGAGCCATACTGGTTGGCAAACTCTGGTTTACAGTTTTAAACCTCCCACCATTACACAGTCCCACTTGGCACAACAAGAAAGAAATCTCAAGGCCCAGTTGTCAGTCGGGTGTTTTTTTTTCCTAACATTGATTCAAGGCATGTTCATTTGGCACTATGTAGAGATTATGAGCAAAGGACACCCCAACTCTGACTGCTATCATGCTATCAGAACTACCAAGGGAGAATTAGTTTAATAGTGTAATCTACCAACATTACAAGGAAACAAAACAGTGACTATATAAAGTCTCTTCAGTATCTCCATGAAGATTATAGCTTGCTTTAGGAGCCATGTCTTAAATTACAACTTAAGGCTTTTACCAGGTGTTATTACTTTTTAAAGAAAGGAAAGAAAATATATCTAAAACATCTTATTTGGAACAACACATTGTTTCATTTTACAGATTCCAGTACCTAATTTGCTATCTACCGCATGAACTCCTGCCCTTTTTAGGTTTTTGTTGTTATTGTTTTACTAAGTATTTTTATGCATCAAACTTATCCTTTGTTTGGGAAAAAACAGTGCTTTAATTACAGCAACAAAGCACAGAAATAATAACCATTAAAATGCACAAGAATAAACATGAATGCATACATTTATTTAGAGCGTTCACTGCTTAAAATTTCAAATAAAATGATCTTTTCAATTGCTGTACTTTAAAAAGACATAAATTTTCCATTCTCTTTTAAGAAAAATGGTAGCACAAATTAACACAGTAAAAAATAATGAAAACAGAATTGCATTTAAAACAATCTTAAAACACAACTGTATCTTCCTTTAGGTTAGTAAGTATAAGTAATTGTTGGTATCAACAAGAATGCAATACAGACATTTATATCTTAGGATGCATATTTATATGCTCCAGAATGACAATCAACAAGTTTTACATTTTTACTAGAGATAAATATAAACATATAAATAGGAAAAACAGGCCCTTTTGCCCCTATTTTTCCTACATTTTAAAATATTTTTTCCTACATTCAGTAATAAAAATGTTTACTTTTAAAAGGTGTATCACAGCTGCTAATATAAATCTCTTAGTTTATATAACAAATACTTTTCATTCTAAAATATATAGTCTAGACCTACTTTAAGTGGACTAATTTAATACCAAGCCCTGAGTAGTTCCAGTGCTAGTTACAGAGGAGTGGACGGTAGAGGTGGACGGTAGCATACTGTAGCATACATACTGTATTGGCCCGTGCTAGTCTGATAAATGCTAGTCGGTACTGCCATGGTAGCAATGTGAGGTGGCGTGCCTTCTTCCTCTGATTTTTCTTCTTCAATCTTGGGAATACCAGGCACATCAGAGGAAAGTTCATTCAGTATTTTTCTAAAACAAAATGTAATCATATATATCACCAAGGTACATGAATGAAACCACAAAACAGACAAAGAAAAAACAAACAAAACTACTGGAAGAATAGATTTGGTGTATAATTATTCTTTAAAAAAAAAATCTTATGAAAGTAGGAAACTTCACTAACTTACCTATAAGAGGGTCTTCGTGAAAGGATTTCTCTACGTTTATGAGAATCAATTACACCTTCTGATTCTGCAGACTCATCTGTCTCTGCAATGGTTGCTACCTATAATACAAGAGTTTCTGAAATGCATCATAAAATAGATGATCGTATCCCTCAATCAACCAACAGTGTAGGGGGTAGGTGTGCAACACTAAGCCAGGTGCTGTGGGGGATACCAAACTACAGAATGTGGGGAACCCACAGTAAAAGAGCGCATGATCTTGCATACGAAAGGCAGTAGAGACAAACATGCAAGGTGTAAACTAAGACTACGGGTTAGTATGGAAATGAATGGTACAGATAATAGAATCTACAGAAATGTGAAGTAAGAATGTTTGAGATGCCAGTTGAGGATGTACAGTAAAGGACTAAACATAAGATGCACATGCTCAAAGTTCCTAACCCTGAAAATGCCCTTATACAAATCTAACAGGGAATGAGTGAGCCCAGTAAGAGGCAGGAAAAAGCACCAAGGTTTCATATTCATTTTGTTCTTCTAGTGGACTTGAGCTGGGTCTTCAAATTAGGGATTAGAGATACAAAGGAGAAGGACTATTTACGTAAGAAACAAGTAAATAAAGAAGTGTGGGTAAAATTAGTATATATTTGACCATGTAGTTCTGGCCATGGATATTCAACACATAGAAACAGTCATATGATGAATAATAAGAGTTAGTGGAAAAACTGTTGGTGCAATGAGACCATCTTACATTACCACCAAATATTTATCACTTTACACTGAGTTTTTCTCACATTTCTCATGTAATCATAACCATTCTTCTAGGCTATAATTTACCCATTTTAGAGGAAATTGAAGTTCATACTATGTGATTATGTGACTTGCCCATTTTCCAACAGGCAGAAATCTGAAGACAAGCTGTACCAGCACCTATCTGTACAATAATAATTATATCTTTCATTTAACAAAAACAAAAGCCTACTGAATAGAAGACGGAAAGATCCTTTCCTCCAATAGCAGCCAGGTTAAAAAGACACCTAAATAAATATCTATACCCAATAAAAGTTAGAATATAAGTAGGGCAGTGGGAAGACGTCCTTGTTTTATAAATTGGGTCAGAAAGAGACCACAACTCTTGGAATCAAGGGCTATCCTAGAAAAACCAAAGACAGCACAGGAAAAGATACCTGTGACTAAAAGAAGCAAGCCTATAATGTCCATAGGTTTATTACTTTAAATACCATGTTGCAACCCTCATCCGTATTAACATGGACTACACTCAAAACATGCAGGGAAAAGACAAGACTGTTTAGGAAGGTCAGCACTGTTTTCCTCAGATTTTTTTTTAAGTCATCAATTAGGTTCAAATAACACCAACAGTTAAATGATAAAAACAAACTGACCTAGAAGAGAAATAAAAATAAATTAAGTAAACAAGATGAGTATGCTTAAAACACTGCATCCATGAAAAATACATATTTAATCATTAACATCTACTTAGGTAAAAAAAAAAAAGTTTCATCGTTAAGGAATTTTAAGGACTTATGACCAGCCGTGATAATAATAACATACATCTCTGGATCACAACCACAGTAAGAATGATGTCTAAAAAACTCAGGGTTTAAACTGAGAGGAGCATGGACTATGTAAGCAGTACTCCAAGGTGCCAATAATTCTCCTTTCTAAGCGTAACGTATTTTTCATTATAAGAAAACTTGTATCTATCTACTAGCCTGAGTATTCGTGGAAACTGCATAAGAAATGCAATCTTCATATTTACCAGACATCTTCTCCAAAGAACCCTCAAAATATTGTTAAACGCCACTGACAGCGCCGTTAAATAAACCAGAGTTTGAACACAGAACAACACTGGAATGACAAGTAAACTGCCATCTGAAAACTACTCATTCTGCAAATTAAGCACTAATCACCCAAACTTTAACTCGTAAGTTATGTATCTAACAGGACACAGTGCTCAATACATAAAAAAGAAACTCCCCTAAATGTCTAACTAAAAATATCTGAGCATGAAAGTTTCACAAAGAAAAATATGGCAAATAAATGACAAAATTAGTTAATAGGAAAAGAGGCTCAAGAAGGTCAGAGACAAGTCATTCCGGAGGGAAGCTAACCTGAACAGTTTGTATTTGTGGTGAGTGAATAACCGATGGCTGTGGTGTCTGAATGACTCCCTGGACATGTACAGTTTGGCCCGAAGGTAACTGCACTAGAGTTACAGCTGGGGAGCCTCTTCCGGTGCCTGATCCAGCTACAGAAACCTGCAAAAATGATCATCATTGAGGATTACAGCTGAGCCTGTGTTGATTGGTTCTTTTGATTTCTGAAATATCATTAGCTATTATGACTGGTCAATTTTTCGTTTCTTTTTCCTGCTTCTAAAAAATGACCAATAAGCTGTGGTACTTACTTACCATGAGGAGGTGGTTACTGCCCTAGAACAGTCATTCTCTGATGTGACAGATATTAAAGAACCCAAGCTCCTCATTTCGGTTCCCATGCTTCGGGTGGCTAAGAATGTTCCAAGCATAATGTTCTAAAGCAGTTTAACTACCTCACTACGTATAAGACCTCATGATGATGAACAGTGAAGCCTTTTTGAGGCCAGAGTATAAAGTACTCCCTCTAACTTCTTTTTTTTTTCCCCCCCCCTAACTTCTTTTTAATGTCAAGTCTACTTAAGAGAAATGGGGGACAGAACTTAAATATGCTGAATTATCTGGCATATGATATTTTATGCTAGATGCAAGCTAATCCCTTGTCTGGCGTACGATAAAAATCACACTTTCATGCCCCTATCATATTAGAAAATGCACAGGCCAAAGAAATGGCTATTTTTATCAGGACCTTAGATGACCTTAGCATCTCTGAGCCAAGTCAAGCTCTTACATTGGACTCAGTATGGCCTTTTCTCACTTTTTGTCTCTCCCAGCTGGAGCATACTGAGACAGGGGTACACAATCACTTAGTAAAACAGGGTGAAGGCAAGTACGGCCATCTAGCAGCACTTTCAACTGAGATCCCTAACTGCAAAAATGCAACAATACCTCTACTCCTCTGGGTTCAAAACCTGCCAAGTTTTCTAATTCGTAGTAAACAACTCCGTCCTATGATTGTTGTTGTTGTTAAATGCTGTTGCGTTGATTCCAACTCATAGCAACCCCATATAGGGTTTCTGGTGAGTTTGAATTGTCCATCTTGCAGTTCAAACGAACCTTACGTTCCAGTGTTTATCCTACAGCACCACACCATGGCTCTGTCCTAAAGGCCAGTGTAATATTAGAAACTTTTCCTCGTGATGCTAAGATTTACCATTCATATTATTATAACTTATTCCACACAAAGACTGGAAATGAAATAAGCCACCAGTTTCAATCACAAGTCATAGTAGAATCACAGGATCTCTGAAGGAAGTCCCTGTGTGACCCTATTTTAAGCAACACCAAAGATTTCCAACTGCTTATGCTTACATAAAAACTAGGTTTATAACATAACTACCTATGTGTTGAGTGTTGCACTGGGGAGCTAGGATAGAAAGTAGGATGATCAAATGAACACGTAAGAAACAACAGCATACCAAATAATAAAGAACTATTTTCTCAATTGCATAGGCCGAAAATGTTATATTGTGACAGAATAGAAAGAACAGTATGAACCTGAACAATAAATGAGGCTTTGTCTGGAAGCCAGAACTTGAGCTGAAGCTTGATCTGAGTCTGGATAACAGTTGGATAGAAAGTGAGAAACTAGGGCACAGATACACAGCATGCAGCCCAAGGGCCAAATTCAGCTCATCTACTTTTGTAGTAACATTGTCCACCTTAGATTCTAGAGGAAAAGAAAAACTTTATCCTATAAGGAAGCCAGTAGATTTAATCACTGCAAGTCTTAAAACATTACAAAGATTTAAAAGGCAAGTTTGTGTAAATTACAAAAAGGAACACATCTGTACAGTCCGATCATCAAATGGCACTGTTCTCTGTATACCACTAATTCTCTAAGATTTAGTCTTAGAACTCTTGAAAACTTCTGACCTCAAAGAGCTTTCGACTATGTAGATTACATTCAGTTGTTGTTAAGTCAGTTTCAACTCATTGAGATCCTTTTGCTATGAGTTGAAATCAGCTTGAAGTTACCTCAGCAATAACAGGGTTTCCAAGGTGCAGCTGATGGCTTGAACCACTCATCTTATGGTTAATAGTTCAATGCTTATCTTACAGCACCACACCAGGACTCCAGGAGGATGGTAGTAATGCTTAACAACTGACTGTTGGGAAGGGGCAACATGGATTTGTAGTTTTTGCTAATTTCAATGAGGTAAATTCTCCTAGTATGGCTCATGACTAACATGACACTGAACACAAAGTTGGAAAACTATGCACAGTACAAACCAGCTCCAGCACCCCAAGGGTTACATGTACTGATGTTCTCAAGTTTTCAAACTGAGAAAATTTAAGAATATTTAGTGACTCATTTAAAAAATAAATTCATATGGGTAAAAGAGGGTAATAATGTTAAGATGCTTGGCTGTCTTTTGAATCTTGGTTTCCTTTGCCTACCATTGTAAAATAGACACTTGAGAGATTGGGTAAAGGAATAGCCAGAAACATCACAACAGGAAGCTTGTAAGTCCATCTTCAGCCTATAACTGACTGGAATACCTTAAAGGGGCTAGAAGCTGCCCAGTGAAAGAGGCTTCCTGTGGAGCTTATGCATTGCATAAGACCATAGTGGAAACCAGAACCCCATCCAGAATTATCTGAGATGGGAAATTTCCACTGGAAAGGACAAGTAGACCAGCCTGGAGCGGGTAGAAGAACAGAAGATACTTCGTGAAGAAAGACCAGCAGGAAAAATCGGAAACAATAATGACAGTCTATTCACCCAGGAGTCATCAAGGCAAGTGGTCAGAGCAAACTCCCTTCCAAGACTGGGACTCAAGGAGAATACACTAGCAAGCATGTGGTCTAGCTGGTGACCATGTTGGTCACCGATAAGGGGAAGGGGGTAAAACACAGCAATGAAGTTGGGATCTGAGTCTGACCACCTTCAATAGACTCCTGGGTGGAGACCTGGATGGCCAGCA